ACTGTAACACCCTACTACTTCTTGCAACATCCTACTACTTCTTCTCGTACTATTGGAACCATTATCACATTATATACTCATTAAACCTTAGGTTTTAACTTCACATTAAGACTTGGACATAACACTAGCATACGGGTTACATCACATGCTTAGGAAATTTAAGATAGTTTTCCCAAAGCATCCAAAAGCATAACACCGAACGGTGCAAAGTTTGAGTTTAAAACAAAGTACAAACCCAACATAGTAGTTTAACATTCAGTGGGTACACAAACTTAAAAGCGTTGAAACATTTAGTTCGACTTCAAAAGTGAAAACATGTGGAGAATTCAGTTCCGCCGCACACCTTTCAGCCATCCGGCTGACTTCATTGGTTCGACCGAGGCTTCTGTTGTTGCTTTGGCTCTGAAAGGGAAAAATATTGGCGGGGGTGAGACGCCACTCAATGAGTAATTAATAACCCAACATATACTCCAGTTGCGCACAGTGATCAGGTGCACCAAGGGCTTAAGTTCACTTAACGAATCTAGTAGCTTAAATGGTACTTTACCCAACTATGTATGCAAGGTTCATTAACCGATCTGAACGGTTCTCATATCATACACACTTACCCTTGAGTTACTCATATCAAGCCATATTCCAGATAAAAGCATTCACTAACACATCATTTGGGCATCACCATAAAATCAGCAACATATGGAGGCATGTAACAACTACACAATCTCATAATGAATCATTGCATGAACACATCACAGTAAAGCCTTCACATAAATACGTCAATCTCATGAACAATCTATTGAACTCATCGTAGGAAACAATCACATAGCCACATCACAGAAAATCCTTGTACCAAGGCTCAAACACAAGCATAGTTAGCTAGGTTATGTACATTTTACTTTAATGCCAAGTTATGCACTCCCCGGGATCTCGTGAACTCGTAATCTCGTGATCTCGTAATCTCATAGGCACAAAGTGCCAAATCTCATAAACTCGTGGGCACAAAGTGCCATATCTCATGAACTCGTAATCTCGTGGGCACGAAGTGCCATATCTCGTGAACTCGTAGTCAGGCCTGGCGATACTCCTTATAGGGAGTTCTCATATAACTCTTTTCTTCTCTTTTTCTTTTTATGAGTGCATAACAAGGCGCCATTATGTTTTTATTAGGTGACCACGTAGTTCATGGGTTAGACAATACTCTTGTAAAGCATCTCGTCATAAGCCCGTAGGCACACGTATCATATCATATCATATCATATCATACCATATACTCATTGATGCTATACACAATCATCTCAATTGCACATCAATACATTCTTCACATAGCTCAACATAGCTCACTCATCAATGCACGGTGAAAATAGCAAACTCATACATATCCACATTATCAATTCTCGTCATATAAGCTTTTACTCATTCATAGCTCATTTATCGATCTATCACAAGTCCACATATCCAGGCCGCTTCATGACCCGAATACCATGCCCATACTAAAATATATATTAGGTTAAGAATTACTCACAGTACGACTTTTATTCGGCTATTCCCTTATGCTTCGATGATTCTCCTGCTTGTTGCATTCCTTTACACAAAATCAATTAATCACGTTTAATAGGCTGGCAATTAACTAATACCACTTGATTTATTCAATTAGTTTAAAGATCACATTGTTAAAACAAGAGGACTAACGTACATTGGGGCTGTAATATAATTTAAATAGCTACACCACCGCTCCAAAAATATATTACCCATCCAGGATTTCCAAAAGCACATCTATTACTCCAGCCCCACTCCTATCATACTTATTTATCCACTTTCTTAACTCAACAGCACAATGTAAACAATACAACTCCCAATAACAATTAACAACTCAATTCTACCATTATCAAGAAGCTAACGTGCATAACATCATCATCCCCACTTTAATTACCATTATGTATGTATATAATTATACATCCAAAGGATGTAATTCACTATCCCTGCAATATAATTCCACTTAACGACCCATACCCAACTCGTATATATATATATATATATATGGGGAGTTCTACGGTACCCAGGGTGAAATCCGGGGTACCGTATACCTTGAGTAAAAAAATGCTATCCAGAACTTGAATTGACTGATCTTTCGAACATGATACTATACTCTAACCCTTAAAGATCAACCCCTAGAATAATCATCCCCACCCCAAACATACTTCTTTTTCCCCACGCAACCAGGACCACTTCAATCATGTTTCGCTGAACTTCCTAAGCCTCACTCGGCTACACCACCACTAAGATGAAAACTTCCGGACGATTCTAGGCAGGAGTACTTCATTCATCTCTATGCATGTAACATTAGGGGTTTCTTTTCATAGATACCCAGAAGCTACTACAAAGAAGGAAGGCAATTACCTGGTTTGGGTGTAACCTTCCACCGACCCTCCACCTGGAAACTCCCTCTCTAACTAAGGTTGAGATAAGTGTTTGAGAAGGAGTTAGCTAAGGGAATCAGCTAGGCTTGACAGTCTCCCATTCAGCCCCTTTATCATGGAAGAGATGAAGTGGTGATGTTTATCCACTCCTCCCTTCAGATAGAGCCATCCCCCAACCGACCATCCCTCTTCTCATTTATTCCTAGCTACACGTGTTTGGATACAACCCTAACATGGGAAATGGGTTCTGCAAGATAATTAAGAATGGAAAGATCCAGAGACCACAATGCTTCTTTCATTACAACCCACTCAGTAGTCACGGTTGGGGTGAATTCACTCCTCTAGTTAGAGTCAAAAAGCCATATATCCACCCTTCTCCTTTCCTCGTCTTTTATGAAACCATCACCTTGACAAAGAGGGAGTTTATCACATTTAAAAAAATTTTGTGCCACTCTACGGGAACTACCTAATCAACATATTCAATTTACGTTTTAGTATTTAGAGTTCAATTAATTCATTAGGTTATCTAACAATTTGCTAACCTTACATTCCCAATAAATCACCTGCACCCCTTCGGACTTCCACAACCACATTTCAAAATATAAGAAGACAATTCCGATGAGGTAGGGCGTGACAACGACACCATAATATTAGCCCTTATTATTTCACTTCCCTCAAGTTTTCACTCTCTCCAAATTTTCCTTCTTCTCCCCAGTTTTTTTTAAAGAGGTAATATATTGTAAGGCAACGATGTCGGGGGAGGAATAGATCGGAGATATAGCGGTGAATTAGTAGGACAAGGGTTGAATAAGATTGTGTAAATCTATAGATACTTGAATTTTTAAACCATAACCAATGCCATTTTTATGTATAAAACAAAGTGTTTCACAAAATACATATATCCTTAGAATTTCATTGAGAAGCAACCCAAAATGACAAAATTCAAGGATCAGCCGATTTCACTTTGGACAACTGTTTATCACTAAAATCACTCAATACCATATTGATTATTTTCAAGGAGTGGTAGTGATTTATAAAGCCAACTTAACCATGTTAATTAAATTGGTTTAGACTGGGCCTAAATAATGGTATTTTGGGCTTCATACCAGTTACCTCAACACACACTACTTGACCCACCAAACACCACCCGTCACGCAAGGGGGGTCAAGTGCCAAGCGTTGACACCCTTAAACATCAACCACCCAAGTCGTGGAGACCCAACCACAAGGGGAGTCATCAGTACCCCTAGCTGTGGTGGCAAAGAGAGCCAAAATTTGGCTAAGTGTTGAGACCCACAACACAAGGGGGTCAAGCATGACATCATCCCAGGGGGGTCAAGCATGATGTCATGCAAAGGGGTCATCGCTGTAGACCGTGATGGGAAAGAAGGCGAAAATTGGGTAAGTGTTGAGACCCATAGCACAAGGGGGTCAAGCATGACATCATCCCAGGGGGGTCAAGCACTATGCCATCTACCTACCTTGCACCAGGGGGGTCATGCATGACATCGTCCAAGGGGGTCAAGCATGATACCATCCAAGGTGAGTCGAGTATGACGAGACACAAGGGGGTCTAGCCGCCTACTGGGTATCAAGCATGTTGGCAAGGGAGTCCCTAGACCATGGTGGTGAAGAAAGCCAAAATTTGGCTAAGTATGGAGACCAAACTACAAGGGGGTCAAGCATGACATCATGCAAGGGGGGTCATGCATGACATCGTCCAAGGGGGTCAAGCACCAAGTACCGCAGCCACCTACCTTGCACTAGGGTGTCAAGCATGATGCCGAGGTGAAAATTGGCTAAGTAGGGTGATCCAACCACAAGGGTGGTCAAACATGACACCGTCCAAGGGGGTCAAGCACCGATACCAAACACTAGGGTGTCAGCCATGTATATCATCACATGGTAGACCACCTTGTCAAGACCCTGCAAGCATGATGCCACCCCAAGGGGGTCAGTGTGCATCCATCAAACCCCCAATCACCCTGGTGTCGAGCATGACGTCATGTCAAGGTGGTTAGCACGAGTACCACCAAGCGTGAAGCCTTCACTCACCAAACAAGACGTCTCCATGGCACAAGGGGTCATCAAGTGGCAAGCCAGCAAGACAGTCAATGCGTCAAGCAAGCTACATCAAGCACCAAGCAGTGGAGCAGCGGTTACCAAGAGGCGGTTGCACGACGGTTACAAAGGATGACTATAAATAGGAGAAACGAAAACGAAGCAAGGGTTCCACAACCAAACATTTGACGCACAATGTCAAAATTTATATTTTCTCTGCAACTTACCTTTTAGTTTTCGGAGCTCTCACTGAACCTCCATAGGAGTAGGTGTAATTAGCTTAGCTTTGTTCCCTAAAAAACCATCAAAAACATCAAACACCCTCGTTGGAACAATGTTCGGAGAGGAGTGGACCGTGTTGATTTTCGTTGTTCAAGAAGTCAAAGGTGCATTGATTGAAATCAGACACCAGATTTTCTTCGCCGGAAAACAACAACACACATAGTCAAAAGACCAATCACCGGACCAACATTATTATTGGGATATGATCCATAATCCTTATTCCTACATTCATCCATATTACTCCTTAACGGCCGACAAAAGGATAAATCTCATACCTAAAATTACAACTCCCACCCACAACTCTCCCACCTTCCTTCCCATCACAGCAACTCGGCAGCTCCCCAATGATCCCACCAAGGCAACTCTCACAATCCTCCTTCGACAGGTCCCTCGTACACTGAACCAACCCATACAACCTTTTCTTATCCGACCCTCCACCACCGGTCACCTCAGTCTCCCCCACGGCGTACAACAGCTTCGAACTCGCCGGCGCCTGCAGCTTCGCCAGCTGGCCCAACAGCTCCTTCGCCTTCCCGTTGAACGCCGCGGGATCCGCCACGACGTTGATGTTCCACATGTAGAACCGCTGCCCGTTATCCACCTGTCCCAAGAAATCATCGTCCGAGTACTTCAGCAGACAGCTGTCGTACCAAATGACGGAGCCCTTGTTTAGAGGGCAGCGGCGGGAGATTTCGCGGGAGGCTTCGAGGACGCAGGTTTTGCAGTCGTCGGAGTCGACGTCGCCGCGGCAGAGGGCGAGGCCGTTGACTCGGTCAATGGACGAGTGGCCGATGGAGGCTTTGGCGAAGCCGGCGGCGGGTGGGGCTAGGTCGGCGAGTTGGGAGAAGAGGGTTTGGAGGTTGGATTGGTAAGGGCTGTTCTGCGAGAAGTTTTGTGGGGATGAACAGAAGTGGAAGAGTGGGTCGCCGCCGGCGCCAGCGACGGTTCGTTGGAGGAGGGTGGATAGAAGAGTGGTTATGATTAGGAAGGCCGGGAAAGAGAGCGTGGAAGACGACATTGTTTTCTTCTTCTTCTTCTTGTATGCTATAGCAAGTGTTTGCATACTTTGTGGTGGTTATGATTAGTTATATATATTGCTATGCTATCTAATAATGTGCTGACTGGCCACAGCATGCACAAGTTGTGTGGTGCTTGCTGCATGTGCATATTCCCACTAATGCAAAATGAAAGGAATTGGTTCAATTGTAAGTGCGTTTTATGGTATACTTTTGGACTTTTGGTGGGTATGTATAATATGTTATTTTAGGTTGTCAATGATTTTTATCTACTAATTTGTTAGCTTTAGGAGTAATTATTCATAAGTGTATGATGAGCGAATTTACAAGTTATTTTGTTGGGATTTACAAACTATTTGATGATTTATAGATGATAATGGTGTATTAATAGCATTGTGTCTAACGAAAAAGATTAGGCACATACTGTTGGGTTATGTAAAACCGCATAACTACTCTTTCATTAATTTAATCGATCATATTTTATTCATTTTCACTTGAGTTTTTTGAAAACAAAATGAGATTAGTTGTGTTCTATGATGTTATAAACGCGCTGCTACGGATAGGGAAATCGCCGGAATCGACAAAGCAAGAATAAGAAAGCGAGAATCGAAAACACGACACACGATTTACGTGGTTCACTAACACGATGTGAGTTAGCTACGTCCACGGGCGAGAGAGAGCCGATTTCACTATATCGAGGAGATTACAGATTACAGAGGTGTATGAAGTATTTATAGTACTTCTCCATGTGGGTCTAAACCTAATCCAATCTGACAAAGGAAACGGTTACAGACCAGGCCCAGAACCCGATTACCAGTCATAGCGGCTGATAGTCCGATTCAAGTCATATCAACAAATCTCCACCTTGACTTGAATCCTCTTCCTCTGAAATCTTTGATGTACTCTGCTCCTTCTCTCTCTCTCTCCATCAATGCCCCGTAAGGCGGAGTCACCCACTCAAGACATTCAGCAAGTCCAAGCAGTGTTGGAACTTGCCATGTGGAACCGGCTTCGTGAACATATCAGCAGGATTATCCGCGGTGCCAACCTTCTTCACCTTAATCCTCTTCTCTGTCCTCAAGAAATGATACCTCACATCGATGTGCTTAGTTCTCTCATGGTGGACTTGATCCTTGGCCAAGCATATTGCACTCAAACTATCGCAATACACCACTGCCTGATCATGATGTAGACCCAGATCACCAACCAGTCCCTTCAACCATATTCCCTCCTTAGCAGCTTCTGTCAACGCCATATACTCTGCCTCAGTAGTAGACAATGTCACCGCCGACTGCAGAGTTGCCTTCCAGCTCACTACATAACTCCCAAGAGTGAATACATAACCGGTCATCGATCTCCTCGTGTCAACATCTCCAGCATAGTCCGAGTCAGAATACCCAGACACCAAGCACTCTGTATCACTTCCGAAGCTAATCCCCACATCAGGTGTACCCTTAAGGTACCGGAAGATCCTCTTCACAGCCTGCCAATGCTCATTCCCAGGTTGTATCATAAACCTACTGACAACAGTAACAACATGTGCAAGATCAGGTCTAGTGCATACCATAGCGTACATCAAGCTACCTACTGCACTAGCATATGGGACTCTCGACATGTACTCTTTCTCAGCCTCTGACTGCGATGCATAAGCTGAGGATAGATGAACATTTGAAGCACTAGGAGTATTTAAGGGATTTGCTGAAGACATGCCAAACCTCGACAGTATCTTCTGGATGTAGCTCTTCTGTGACAAGAAAAGCTTCTTCTTCGACCTGTCCCTGTAAATCTCCATACCCAAGATCTTCTGAGCAGCTCCCAAATCCTTCATCTCAAACTCAGCACTGAGAAGCCCCTTTAACTTCTGGATATCAGACTTTGACCTCGCAGCTATGAGCATATCATCCACATACAGAACTAGATATATCATCGAACCATCCTCTGCCTTGCTGTGATATACACAACAATCATATGGACTTCTGTTGTAGCCCAGCTCAAGCATGTAACTGTCAAATCTCTTGTACCACTGCCTCGGAGATTGCTTAAGTCCATACAAGGACTTCTTCAACTTACAAACATAGTCTTCTTTTCCCGGAACCTCGAATCCTTCTGGCTGAGTCATGTAAATTTCTTCTTCCCACTCTCCATGTAGGAAAGCTGTCTTCACGTCTAGCTGCTCGAGCTCCAAGTCATAATGTGCCACTATTGCTAGTAGCACTCTGATCGAAGTATGTCTGCGAAAAACCTCGTGCAACCACCTGAGCTTTAAATTTCATGCCCTCTTTAGAAGTGATTCCATCCTTCTTCTTGTAGATCCACTTGTTTGTAACAATCTTCCTTCCCTGTGGTCGTTTGACTAGCTCCCAAGTCTGATTCCTGTCATGGGATTCCATCTCATCTCCCATTGCGGCAAGCCACTGATCAGCTTCACCACCCGAAACTGCTTCTCTATAGGACTGTGGCTCTCCTGCATCCACTTCCTCAGCAACCTGAAATGAATACACCACCATGTCCTCGAAGCCATACCTCTGTGGAGGTACTCCTGCAGTCGCTCTCTTCGGTCTACCGGAAGCAATAGACTGTTTAGCTCGTGCACTGGACTCTGAATTTTCTGGCTCTGGAGAGACATCCTCATCATGTTGATCTTCTCCACCTTGGTGCTCAAACTCACTCTCATTGAGAGTTTGCAACTCCACCTGCTTATCAACATTCCTGCTACCTTCAGCAACAGTAGCCTTCAACATGGGGTTAAACATAGACTTCTCATCAAATATCACATTTCTACTAAGTATAACTCGATGCTCAGAAGGTGACCAGACTCGAAATCCCTTAACTCCATCTCCGTAACACACAAATACACCCTTCTTTGCCCTTGGGTTCAGTTTACCCTCATCCACGTGATAATAAACAGGTCACCCAAAAACTTTCAGTGAAGAGTAATCAGCAGGCTTACCATACCACACTTCATAAGGAGTCTTACACTCGATACCTGTGTGTGGTCCACGGTTGATCAGGAAGCACGCCATGTTTACTGCTTCTGCCTAGAATCTTCTCTCTAGTCCAGCATTAGAGAGCATGCACCGTGCTCTCTCCAACAATGTCTGGTTCATCCTTTCTGCAACGCCATTCTGCTGGGGTGTATCTCTAACCGTCCGATGACGGGCAATCCCTTCATCCTTGCAGAATTCGTTGAACTCAGAATTACAGAACTCCAGACCATTGTCCGTTCGCAGCTTCTTGATCTTCTTACCGGTCTGATTCTCCACCAATGTCTTCCACTGCTTGAACTTCGTGAAAGCCTCACTTTTCTGCTTCATCATGAAAATCCAAGTAAATCTCGAATAATCATCAATAATAGAAAGAAAATACCTGCTGCCTCCAATGGATTCAACTCGTGAAGGACCCCAACAGTCGGAGTGGAGGTAATCCAGTATCCCCTTCGTCTGGTGGATACCCTTCTTGGGAAACTTGCTGCGATGTAGCTTCCCAAACACACAATGCTCACAGAATTCCAAATTCTGCACCTTGTGCCCGCAAAGAAGATCCCTCTTCGATAGAACTTGCATCCCCCGTTCACTCATATGCCCCAGTCTCATGTGCCAGAGAGTGGTCATATCTTCCTGTTGAACCTGAGATGATGCAACTGCAGCAGAACCAGACAACACAGACCCTTGTAATGCATACAAGGTCCCACGCTTCACGCCCTTCAGTACCTTCCTCGAACCCTTGCAGACATACACAACTCCACCTTTTCCTTTGAAGCTGAAACCCTTGCTGTCGAGTAGACTCAAGGAGATCAGGTTCTTTGTCATTCGTGGAACATGCCTGACATCATTCACGGTACAGAACGAACCATCATGTGTCCGAACCTTTATGGACCCGATTCCAACAACCTTGCAGACAGCTCCATTAGCCATGACCACGTTACCACCATCTATCTGCTCGTAGGTTGTGAAGCAATCCTTGTTCGGAGACATATGGTATGAGGCTGCAGTATCCAGAAACCACACATCACCACGATGTGCCTTCTCATCTACAGCCAAGGCGAGATCGTCTTCAGAACTATTTTCCACTTCTGCCACGGCAACTGAACCTTGTTTCTTCTGTTGGCCTCTTCTCTTGGGACAGTTGTACTTCCAATGCCCCACTTCCTTACAGTTGTGACAAGCATCACCTGGCTGTGGACCGGGACCCTTGGAATTCTTGCTCGAATTCCCTTTACCAGATTTCTTCTTTCCCTTTCCACCTGTAACAGCCAAACCCGATACCTCACCACCTGTACCAGATCCGGACGCCTTATGCCTGATCTCTCTCGTATGAAGAGCAGACCTGACATTCTCCAATGACACGCTTTCTTTACCAGCAATAAAAGAATCAACGAAATTCTCATATTAACTTGGCAAAGAAACCAGCAGGATTAGGGCAGCATCCTCGTCATCAACTTGAACATCTATATTACGCAGATCCATATTTCATGACTTCATATTCTCCATGAAATTCTGATTCCTTAGGTGCACTCAAATCTGGAACACTAATGAAATCTTCATACTCTTCACAAGAAGTATCCAAAAGTGGACCTTCCATAGGCGAGATTTCAATATACTCCTCCTCGTCTTGATGTTGTATTGTCGTTTGGCTCTGAATATCTTCTACCTGATATGCTTGAATCTCGATGTCAAAGACTTCTGGACTTGTCTCTTGTGTCGCTATGGTAGCCTCAAAAGATTGCTCTTGTTCTGGATTTGGATTCCCTATCTGCAACGGAGCTTCTGGTTGGATTACTACGGCTGGCGCACTAATTCCCCATGAAACCGCCAATCGAGAAAGGCTCGCATTTATTTGTGCTTGCCCTTGACGATAAGCTTCTATTTGCATGTTGATATGTCGTAATGTTGCCACAATGTCTTGATTCGTTTGATTCTCCGCCATTATTGCTTGATCCAAAAAAAATTTTAAAAACAAAAACCACAAAAAAAAACACACAATTTTTTTTTTCTTCTTACTG